CGCAAATGGCTACCATATTGAAAAATATACTATTTTTGTATGATAATTATGGGTTTTGTATTTTATTTTAATAGAAGTTGATGTTGCTTTTGCAATTATCCATCAATTTTTTAAAATTAAACACTATCTACAGATTTGCATCGAAGCGTTTCTTATGATAGTGATTTTAATCACTGTCAGATTAAATCTATACTGGACCCTACTATGCAATGTCTCTACTATGCCGCGACCCCACTGTGCTACCGTTTTTTTTTAAATATTTCTCGTAAATTTTTAAAATTATAATTTTTTTATTTAATTATAAAAATGATATTTATTACATTGTTATTATAGCCAATAAGTATATTGAATATAAAAAAAAAAAATTAACTGGATCAAAAGTTATTTAAGTTGTCAGTGAGTACTGGGGGACCTACCTGTATATATCTTTTATTTGAAGTTTGGCTTTATTATCTTCTTACTGTACAAATGTCCTTTTTTATTTTATGTCCAGGCATAGTTTATATTAGGATACGATTTTGCATTTGCGTATAGCAATATATTTTGTATGTTTTATCAAGGAATGTTTGATAAGTTATATATAAATTTCAGTTCATTTATAATTTATAAGTAAGAGTGTTCAGTAAATAAGGAAACGGGTTCTACTGTTCTCATTGTAACAGGTAATTTACCTATTACCTATTATCAGAACAGTACAGTATTAATAATAAATAGACAACTATGTTGTCCAACTTCAAATCATAGTAATCAATATTTTTATGAAAATTGATTTTTTACATTAACACAATTATCAAAAATATAATATTATTAATTAATGTGTATTATTAATTATGTAAAATATGTGCCGCCCTCTATCATTAGATAGCTTCAATATTCAGACGGCAAGTAACGCTTGGGTCTGATTAGAATTGCTACAAAGGCATTGCTAACTTCATGGTCATATTTGAGAAACATGATAACCGTTGGATTTGTATTTCATGTAATAAGTATTAAACATTAATATCAACAAATTTTAACAATATTATTAAATTAATAATATTGTAATACATTTGAAGTTACCGGTAAAGAAATATTTATTTTATGTATTAATTTAAATTTATTTTTTTCTTAACATCAAAATTTAATTCTAAAAAATATACATAATATTTTCAGTCATGATAGGTGGTAGTATTTTTAATAAAAGTGTTACCCAACCTTCTAATCCTAATAAGGATTTTGAAGTAACTCAGCCTCCCGATGACACAGTATCATCCCTAGAATTCAGTCCTGCCGCATTACAACAAAATTTTTTAATAGCTGGCAGTTGGGATAACAGTGTAAGATATTTGTTGTTTAAATATGCTTGTATGGTATGTTTTATTATAAAATTGGTTTATAATTATATAATAGGTACGTTGTTGGGAAGTTGAACAGAGTGGTAAAACTGTTCCTAAATCTATGCAGTCTATGACAGGTCCTATTTTAGATACTTGTTGGAGTGATGATGGTACAAAAGTTTTTATGGCATCGTGTGATAAACAAGTAAAATGTTGGGATTTAGCAAGTAATCAAACTATGCAAGTAGCAGCTCATGATGCACCCGTTAAAACTTGCCACTGGATTAAAGCTCCATCATATACTTGTTTAATGACAGGATCATGGGACAAGACATTAAAAGTAATGTTCAACATTTTTTAAACATAATTATTAATAGAAACTTGATATCATGAAACTCCGATTAAAAAAAAAAAGTAATAGTTTTTAGAGTAATGATTATTTATACAGTTTATTATTATTATTTCTAGTTTTGGGATATACGAAGCTCAAATCCAATGATGACAATTAATTTACCTGAAAGAGCCTATTGTGCTGATGTGGTATTTATAATTTTCTAAAGTTAATATATAAGCTTATTTATATTTGATACTGAACTAGTAATAAATCATATCTGATTCTTTTAAAATTATCTATGATTTACAAAATTATTGCTACTTCTGGTTTATATATTTGGCATTATAATTGATTTTTTGAAATATGGAAATGAAATATAAATAAAAAAATTTCTTATACATCAATTTTAGCTTTATCATTAAAATTTTTAAAATATTGAAACATATATACGTATATAACAAAATATATAAAAATTAAAAATTTCAGCAAATATTTTTTTAATTTTTAAATTCAAATTCTTAAATGTAGTTATATATATAAATATATAAACATAGACAATTTCTTTTCCAATATTGATTATATAGTAAGTATTTACAATTACTCCACTTTATCATCAAAGTTTTGAATCATAATGCAAATTTTAATTTGAGTACGCAGTTTTTATTTTTTTAGTTATTTATTCTTTTTTTAAATTAAATTAAGACATTGAATTCTTATATTTAAAATTTTTTTGATTTAAGTTGTTACTAAATCAGTAAGAATGTTTATTATACATAGTGTAACAAAGTAAATATTGATGTTTTCAAGGTCTATATTTTGTTATTTCATATTATATTTATTCATATTTTATGGTAGTAGTGTTATGTGTGCCTAATTTAGGACGAAAAATTATATTTGATTAAGTTATGTAAGATTAAGGTTTGATGAAGAAACAAATTTTTATACTACCTCATTCATTATCATTAGAGAGTTGGACTAAAAAATATTATTGAATACTATTAAATGTAATTAATTTTCAAAATATTTTAAAGTGTTTTGTAAAATAGCTACATACTTTAATATTTATTTTGTTATACAATGTAATTTACATTAGATTAGATTCAGGATTTTCTTAATTATTAATATTGTGTACTAAATATATTAAATTTTCTAAATGATTGAATTTTTTTAGCATTAATAACAGTTGATTTTTTAGGATTATCCTATGGCAGTTATTGGAACAGCATCAAGAGGAATTGTAGTCTATAAACTTGAGGGAAAACCTGAAATGGTTAAGACTGTAGAATCGCCTCTTAAATATCAACATCGTTGTGTAGCAATTTTTAGAGATAAAAAAAAACAATCACCAACAGGTTAGAGAAAAGTGAAAATATATTATATATATATTATAAATAAATATATATTTTTTTTTATGAAAAAAAATTGTGACTATTTTAGGTTTTGGTTTGGGAAGTGTTGAAGGACGTGTAGCTATCCATTATATTCAACCACAGAGTACAAAAGATAATTTTACTTTTAAATGTCATCGTCAAAATAGCCAAGGCACCATGAATGTTCAAGACATTTATGCAGTATGTTTGAATAGTAAAAATAGCAGTATCTTTGAAGAAAATATAATATATGGTTTTTGGTTAAAACTATTAAACACTCATAATTATTAAATATTTTTTAGTTTAGAAAAATTTACAAGTAATATTCAATTGTTAGATTGTTGATATAAATATATTTTTTGTTATAATCCGGCAAAATTTCATTAATTGAAAGTCCAATTTAAGCAATCTAAGCTAAGAATAAATAAAAATGTACCATAAATTCTAGTAGTAAAACTGGAAAATGAATTTCTTTTGTTAATTTAATATTTAAGTTTTGCAATTAAAATGTATTTTAAATAACATTTCTTTATTTCGATAGTAACGAATTGTGATATGGTAAAAAGGTATACTTATGTATACTTTTAAAAGAAATTATTAAGTTTTTATTTTTTAATAACATAAAAATAGTTTTAAAACATTAAAAAATTACTTTTACACTTGAAAGTAGTTGTTAAAAACATTTTTTTTGATATGAACCCATTATTTTAATTATTAGATTAAATGACAATTACTATTTTGTATTATGAAAACTTTTGAATAAGTTTATATATTCCTTACATATTGTTTCTATAAATTTTAAAAGTGTGATTATTTTATAAAATACTTGTCTTATTTCAACATTTTTATTTTACTTAGTTTTTTAACTTATGATTAACTCAGAATAACATATTAGGGATAGTTCTTTAATATTATTTTATTTTAGGTGAATGATATTAAATTTCATCCAGTTCATGGCACATTAGCTACTGTTGGTTCTGATGCTACATTTGCCTTTTGGGATAAAGATGCTCGTACAAAATTAAAGTCATCAGAAACAATTGATCAACCAATTACAAAATGCTGTTTTAATAGTAATGGACAGATATTTGCATATAGTATTGGATATGATTGGTCTAAAGTAAATAATAATTTTAATATTAAATATTAAAATTATAATATAATATAATATAAATTTTATATATTAAAATAGAGTTTATAAAAAATGTTAAGCTTCTTTATATTAAGAAAAATGCAATTTTAAATATATTAATATATTGTATTCTTAGGGCCATGAATATAATAATCCAGCAAAGAAACCACAAATATTTTTAAAACCTTGTTTTGAAGATCTCAAACCAAAAAGTAGTACATAACAGGTTGGTTTATTTACTTTTAAGTGTTTTTGGTATTCTTTAATTAGTTATTGTATATTTAAATTTTTTTAATTAAAAAAAAATGGCTTTTTCAATATTATTTTTTATTGTTGTTTGTTTATAACCTTATAAATTTATACCAATAGTAATCATAGATTATTCTTTCTCTGAAATAAATAATTTATTTATTTAAAAAAACATACTATTGTTTTCTAAATATTATCTTTAAAAAAAACATTTCATAAGTAAATTTATATTTGAAAATTTGATTATAATATTGTTTTAAAATTTAGAACATTTATTCTCTTGTCAACGGCCCAACACTTTAAACCATACATTATAGCTAGTCTCACTAGTCTTATAGAACTTACCTTTCAGCCTTATTGGAATTTTTATATACACACCAGATGCTTCTCCACTTTAACCACCCACACTTAATTCACAATTTGCACAACTGATCCTAAATACTTAAAACTTTCCACCTCTCCTATCACATTCTTGCTTATTGTCACTGATCTTCTCATTTCACCTAATATCTGTTCTACTCCTTTGTCGAACTCGTACTTTATATGCTTTTTCTTACTCCAACTTATTCTTATCCGCTTTCTTCAAGATCTAATGTCCACACCACTAACCTTTGATTAATTTCCTCACTTTTTTCTTCATTTAACACTATATCGTCAGTGAACAACATGTACCATGGCACTTCTCCTTGTATTCTCTAGTAATTTCATCCATTATTACAGAAAATAAGTGAGGGCATAATCCAAACGGGTTTTTAGATACTAATGTCTCATTTATTATTCACTTATCTATTACCTTTTATTTTAATATAATAAATATTTATTGTAGCAATTAAATTAGTATGAGATTGATATTAATAATTTAGAATTGTAATTTTTTTCGGAGAATTTATACAAAATTATAAAATAGTTATTACTTTTATAGCAAACGTGTATAAAAATTAAAGGGCTTGATATAAAAATTTTCAGAAAATAATTATGAATAAATGGTCTACAAATAAATTTCATCATAGTCAAAAATATACTTTTATTATTCAATTTTTCATGTTTGATTTTGTTTTCCACCTCAAAAAAAAAAAAAAAATTAAGATAAAAATGTTATTTTAATTTGCGGGGTTCAAACGTTGTACTCCGAACTTACAAGACTGTATAGTTAATAACGTAACCACTGTGATCGACATGAATAATTTTTATAAAATAAACTATTTAAGCTAGTTCAAAAATTCAAAGTCACTTTTTTTAACTTTAAAGATGTAAAATAATCAAAATATAAGCTAGATTCATGTAAATTTTATAAAAACTGATGTATTCATTACTATAACAAAGCCTTTTATAAGTATTTTAAAATAAATAGAATGTTTTTTAATTAAGGCAGCCATATGCAAGTAGAAGATAAGTTGTCGGTACATTTTTTTTTTTTTAAATATTAATACATAACATAAGCTTTAATTTGACATATGTTTAAAGAACAAGTATTTCTGGATCATTTATAAAACTTAAGTTGAAAAAGTTGAGTTTTGTAAAAAAAGTTACTATTTCGAATCTACCCATTAAAATTTTTTTAATTTTTAAGAGCAATGTCTTCTACTAGATACAATTTGTGATCTTTTGACGTATTGTTGAAAAAAATTGGTCCAGGGAGAGCTGAGAAAAATTAGTGACAGACATAAAAAAAAAAATCAACACATTATGGTAAAATTAATACCTTCTCATCTTTGTATCGAAACTAAAAATATATTTCGTAAAAAATATTAAAATATTAATATTAAATTTTATACAAACTATTGGTAATAACTAGTTTACCTCATATCAGATTATTCAAAAATATTAATATAATACTATTAATTCGCTAAATAAACTTAAAAAATATATAATTAAAAAATATTTGTGAAGTTTAAAAAAAAAAAGTATATATATTTATTAGTTTGGCTTGCCTTTCATCAGTGTTAAATTAAAAATTTAATTATTTCAGTATTTATAGTAAAAATTTAGAGTGATGATGAATGTGTTCTTCTATAAATGATGATACAAAATGATATCCATGATTATATCCTTCCTCGACTTTGATTGAACTTTCAATTCCAGCTTTTCTACAAGCAGTTGAGAATTTCTCCAAGTTTAATGTTTCAGCATATTCATCTTTACTGCCCTATGAGTTCACATATAACAAAATGAAACACATCAAATTATTTTTGTTGAATTTTTAATCTTCACTAACTTGGTGAATAAGTAAATTTAAATTCGGTCCTTTGTAATTGGAAATTAAACATGTAGCATCCCATAACTCCATAGCTTCAGTATCTTTTCCAAAATAATGATTATATATTTCAATAATAGAGGATGTTCCAGCAGGATTACAAACTGGAGCAAATGCAGAAACAGATTGAAATTTTCCTGGATTTTTCAAAGCACTAATAAGGGCTCCATGGCCCCCCATACTAGTAACATGAAAAATTAATAAATAATGTGTTAAGTCAGCTAAGAGAAGGATTGGAGAGAGCATTTGCTTTAGAATCTATTCTACATTGAAAAATTGTGTAAATGTAATTTAAACTCAAAATAAAAGTCCTTTAATCATAAAAAAAAACCTCGAACATATTGATTGTAATAAACTAGCTAAATTTTTTTTATTTTCTAAGGGGGTTATAAAGATATGATTAGGTGAGTATACAAGAGTTGGATATTAGAAAAAAGGTTCGCTATACAAAAATCAGATCTCATTTTAATAGAAATAATAATACTATAATAATAAAATCCAAAAATTTCTTCTAAATCCATTCCTGGACATGATTACCACGAATAAATACTTATGGTCGGGTAGGCAATAATAATGTGAATTACATTTTATGTATCAAAAAAAACAAAATGGTTTTTAAAGATTTATTACCTATGTCCCATTATTGACTGTCTATTTTTTTTAATATTAAAATTATCCTGAATAAGTTTAGGTAATTCTTCATTGACGTAAGAATACATATTGTAGTTTTTATTCCATGGAGATTGCACTGCATCGATATAAAATGAAAGTCCTTTGGCTTCAATTATACTTTTTTCGTTTGAAAACATAATTCCTGAAATCGATTTTTGATATATTTATATTGAATATAATTATTAATTTATAAAATAGCAATATTTATCAATTGATACAAGCAATGAGAACAATAGAAATCCGTTTCCTTATTTACTGAACACTATATATGATTAGAATATAATAGGCAGCGGGATTAACTAAACGAATATTATAAGTAAAGCCGAACTGACGTGAACTTATTATGGGTTAATTTATCATATTTTTTAGCTTCGATGCAAAGCTTAGAAAGTATTAATTTTTCTATGTGTTTTTTTTTGTGTCTATAACCATTATTTCTCGGCTCTCACCAAACCGATTTCTTTCAATGGTACGTTAAAAAATGACAAATCGTGTCTAGTTGAAGACACTGCTCTTAAAAATTAAAAAAAATTACACATTTTATTAAAAATATTTTTACATATTGTAATATAAATAATTATAATTATTAGTAGTGAGTAGTAAAATATTTTCGCTTCCGATACAACTACAAAAAAGTAGCGCATTACAGTGACTGAGCTACTTCCAACCATTAGTATTTATGTGTATTTCTTATGTTCTTACTTGGACACACATCTGGAGCAACTACAATAATTCCGTATTGAGAGGCCCAACGTTGGTATCCAGATCTTTCAATGAATGTTTTCTCATTACATGACATCCCACTTAAATAGTATAAAACAGGAGCAGGATCTTCTAAATTTGGTGGTATGTATATAGAAAAACGAATACTAGTATTTAATACATCACTGGAAAATAAAATAAATAAATAATTTAAAAACAAATAAGACATATTAAAATGCAATGATAACTTTAAGTTATTTTTGAAATAATTCAATTTAATAATAGCCTGTTTTTATCATGTAAAATTGTTCGTTCAAAGACGAGGAGAAGATTTTATAATTGTTTTTCCAGATTTCCGACTATGAGTTGGACTATAAGTCGTCTAAATAGTCGACTTAAACAAATTTGCACACGTTGGCAACACCAAACTTTTCCGCCAATACATTTTTAATATTTTAAATAATGGATGATTGATCCTGCTAAAATTATTGTTATTTCTGGATAATGTAGTAAGTCTTTTTGTTTTAGTCTTTGAATGTTCCACATCAGTTGTAAGTTTTACCTTCGATGCGAAGCTGAAAAGATATTGGTTTTACTAAGATGTTTTTTTTTTTTTTT